ATAAAAAAAAAAAAATATATATATATATATATATATATATTTTTTTTTTTTATATATATAAATATATTCATGATTTAATGATTTAACCATTTCTTTTTCACCACATTACTTATGCTCTAGTTTAGTTCAGTCATCCTTAAGTGCAAGCAATTGATTCTAAAGATATGAATGTTATTGCTGTTCCAGAGTAAATTGCCTTTTCACAAAAGTTCAACAAAAGTTATAGATTTTTTTTTTCACGTTGCTGAATTTTCTGAATTTTCAGCAACCATTACTCCAGGCTTCAGTGTCACATGATCCTTCAGAAATGCTGATTTCGTGCTTAAGAAAAAAATATTTTTATCAATGTTGAAAACACTACTGCTACTTTACATTAGAGGAAACTTTTTCTTCTTTTTTTCCTTCAGGATTCTTTAATGAATAGAAAGTTCCAAAGAATATCATTTATGTGAAATAGAAAAAATGTGTAATATTATACTATCAATGTGTTTACTGTCACTTTTAATCAATTTAAGGTGACTTTACTGAATGAAAATATTAATTTGTTTAAAAAAAAAAAAAAATCTTACTGAACCCCAAATTTTTGAATCATAGTGTGTAATCTATCAAGTGGTTGTAACAATAATGAAATATAAATAAAAAGAACATTTAAGGTACGAAGTAGTCTTAAAAGTCTTAAAAGCAATAAAGGCTTTTGGCCTCATTCAGTACCATCAGTGTCTTTGTGCAATCTATTCCATTGACCTTGTGTGAGGCGTTAAGGTATAGGTCTGTGTGTGGTAGGTATATGTTTACATTTCATTTTTGAAGCAGCCAAACTCTCAGACTCTTACCTCGCCCTAATTTCTCAGTGTTAAGTATCAGAGAAGACATGTCTGTCCACACCATGCACACATACAATAAGCAAAGCCTTCGACAGGTTTAGATTTCATTGACGCTGTGAGCAAAATCTGTCTGTGTGGTGCACTTCATCATTCAGCTGGCCTCAATCCACCATCCTCTCTGCTGCCTAAAGACTCAGAGCTGTCACGACAACAAAATACGACACTGTCCCATTGGGCCAACCACTTCATCAAAATGAAGGCTTCAGCAAATAAGTGTCTTGTGGCTTTTCGTGTGGGACAGTGTGATTTGGTGTTGAAACCTGTAGCTTTTTAATCAACAATTTAATCTCAGAGATCATAGTTTTTTTTATGTTTTACTGTCACTTCAGAATTATTAATTACATTGCTCAGTTCAGGTGGTAAAAATTAGTACAATGTACTTATTGTGTTCCTATTGTATTGCAAAACACTTTTGCTGCTATTGTGGTGGGATACGGGTAGGTTAGGGATGGGTCAACAATGTAATTATAATTGTAATTACAGAAATTAATTACAGATGTAATTACATACAGGTATTTTTTTAAATATAAGTACAATGTAAAAACATGTATGCACACAATACGTGCATTGTATCAAATAATTCATTTAAATGTAAGTACAATTACAGGCCACCTAATATAAAGTGGGACAAAAAAAACTAAATTATTACAGTAAGGCACCTACAATGGAGGCAATAAACGTTAAAATACCATTTTCTGATCATTCTAAACATTACACTATTTATATGGCATAACTCTCTCTAAGCATTGTTTGCATTGAGGCAAATTTCTGTCACGCATAACCAGATGTTTATTCATCTAGAAAAGTAGGCAACTTCGTAGCTTCATAGAATAATAAACCGTTTTTATGGAATAATTCGTCTTCCCGAGTTATTTTACTTCATACAAAAGTACTTCACATTTCTGCTTTTAAACAACCCAGAACACTTTTTTTTGCCTTTTTCCCCTATAAAAAAAACTGATGGGCAAGTCAAAATAGTTTTCTGTGCTGTTAACATCATATCAAAAATGCTGTCTTTTAGAGTGCTTTTTGAGCTTGGAACATTCTTTCAGAACAAAAGTATGAAATAAACACACTCACTGTTTGTGTAGCCAGCAAAATGTGTCGCATTCCTATTGTTTGACTATTTCATTTATTTAACACATCAGCGATAAACTGAGTTTCTCAAAAGTAATCCATCACATCCTGCTCTAGATGTCATCCATCATGTGCCAGGCTAGATAAAAACAATAAGATTCACCATTACCCTTTAGCATAGTTATGCTGCATGATATTCCTGTCAGGTTTAACATTTACAATCCCTGTCTAATTAAAATTAATGCCTTCTCTTTCTTCTCCTCTCTAACTGTCTACAGGCCTCCGGAGTTGATGTACAAGTACGGGAACCTCAGCGAAGGAGCCTGCAAACCCAGCTATGCAGCTGCCAAAATGAGTGCTATCTATCCAAAGTATGAACAGATTTCTTTATTAATGTAATACACAGGGTTCAACAATAAGCCCCACTGCATTGCATTGGTTTAATGCTAGATAGGGTTGTATTTTGAGAAAAGGTATTTCATATTTCAAAGGAAGGATATTTGAAGATGGCAGTTGGGATGGAAGTTTGTTTGGAAGAATACAAAGAGGCTTTGGCTGAATCTTATGCTTTTTTAAACCTGCTTTTGTCCTGCGAGTCTTTGCGATATTGAGCCAACAGAATGAAGTACAAACTCTGTGAATTGACAAACGCTTTGTTAAATATTTACTGCTTTAGCTCTGATTTACCAAGTTCCTCGTGTGTTCAACTCTCCCTGCTTTTCGCCCGTCACCATTCAAGAGACACTATGTCACTTCTCAGCTACGAAGCCCCTGAGGCCAGTCTCATAATATCTCTGACTGAACAGAAAGCTGCTCCTCTGATCCTTTAAGTCCTTGTTAATTTGTGACCTACCACAACAAACAACCACTTTCGCATGCTCGCTGGCTCCACAATGCGCCTGTTGTAACTCAATTTGGATGTGGACAGTGATTCTGTCTTTGCGGCTTAGAGGAGAAAGCCCTGTCAAGCAGCCACTGTGGAGGACCGAATGAGTCAACTTCTTCAGTTTGACTAAATCCTCAGAGAGCTCCGCGACCCTCAATGATGTCACACAGCACTCAGCGACCCTCGGTGACGTCACGGGCCTTTGATGGAACTTTACATCTTTGCTGGCATCCGTGTTCCATTGTTCCCTCATCTTTAGGCTGGCTATTGTTAGCACGAGTAATTTTTCCACTACAGCATGCCCAGCGATGATAAACATTAAGCATCACGGTTTGGTTTGTTCATGGATATTTCTTTCATCGCCATATGATTGTTTAGAAATAGCTTTTCCACCAATCAAGAAAGATTATTTTGGAAAGGATTTGAGCAGCTATCACAAAACAGCAACTATCACACAATAGCAACAGCAATATTTAGTCCAAGTCAGATGGTTGCCCTGGATTGGTTAAAACAAAAACGGACTAAACAAAAAATATGAATTTAATGAAATAACTTTTTAAAGAAGAGAGAATAAAGACATTGTGACAACAACAGTGACGAGTTCATGTTGCAGAAGATGTAATTTTGGTGTGTCCTTATGTCTCTAGAGTTAGCACAAGCATTGAAAGACCCATAAAACAGAGCAATGACTGAATTGGTGCCTGAAACTTTTTAACAAGCCCCCAATTAACGGCATGTGTGTTAACAGTGTCTACAATATGCCTCTAATTAACACATGTGATGGATCAAGCTTCTCAGGGCCTTTGTTTGTCTTTTGGGGTCAAAAGGCACTTCTGCCACATCATTACAACACAAATATTTAAGCGTTTTTCTTGTGTGATAAATTATTTATAATGATGTTTAGGATACATTGATTCGGTTTAGATATTTCCAGAATCCTGAACTAAATAACAGTTGAAACGTTTTATGTCATTTTTAATGTATAAAACGGAGATAGGTATTGTACATGTTATAGGAAATTGAAAATTGCAGTCAGTAACTTTTTGAAATAAGTTTGTTTGTTTACATTAGATTCAATATACAGCATTCAATTGTTAATTAATTAATAATTATATAATTATAAATATTCATTGATAGTACAATATAATGTTAATTCATAAAACTTTTGTAAAACATGCAAGTGTATGTAGAAATTAACATGAGATTAATAAATGCTGAAAAAAAGATGTTAGTGCATGATACCTGATGCATTAACTAATGTAAAACAAATTGAATTTTATTGTATAAAGAGGAAATGTTTTATTTAGCATCTAAGAAGACCGAATCGCGGCCTCATGTTTGGATAAAGAACTTTAAGACTCAAATTTAAGTGTCACGTAGTATAATTGTACTTTTATCCGTGCATTTTCACAGTAAATAATTTCGTTGAATAGACAAATACTCAATTTTTTTTTGTTGTTGCATAAAGTAGGGATGGTCCTCTTAGTTAATACCTACTTGGCATGTTAAGTATGTGATCATTTGGGCAATCACTGGTCTCTCCCTTTAGGAGTTACATTTTATTGGGGGATCACTGCGTGTGTAGGAAACCACCTGAAGCCATGTGATCCCACCCTCTGTTAGTTCACCCCTGGAATCCACTTTATTTTCAACACCTCCACTCCTTTCCCAAAATTGTTTGTATTGGACTCTTAAATCAAATGTCTTGGTTGAACTTGAGCAGGCGGTTATGAAAATACAGCCCCCAGTGAGAGATAGCCATGAGGAAATGAGCACAATGTGCACAGGCCTCCTGTTCAGGACCCTTTATGACAAGCAGACGCCTGTCTGTCTTTAGGCATGAAGCTCTCACCCAGTTATTTATAATGTGAGTTAGTCCGCACCCCACAAGTTAATTAATCCCAGTTTGTTTTGGCAAGGTCTTGCTTTGTCTGCCTTTTATCAGGTGATATAAGGAGAGGATCCGATGCAACGTTTTTTCCTTTCTTCTTGATGCTGTCGGACATCCCCTGGCCTTAAGCAATTAGCGCATGAAATAGACACACTTTTATCAGAGTCTGTTAAACAGTTGCCAATTGTGATCCCATTCATTTTCTAATCTTATTTCCTGTCGCTGCTCTTTGACATTTTCTTCAATTGACATCTTCTTTGTCCTCACTTTCCCCAAATATCGGACATTGTTGTAGATTTAGGTGGTTTAAAAGCAACTGGAGGTCTCCATTACTAAAAAGGCTGTGAACTTGTGCTACTCTGTACTTTGAAAAGAATTGTTGGGAAAGCGGTTCTGCTGCTTCTCTTGTATTTTAAATGACCCGTGTGTTCTCTTTACTGACCCATGATTAGTCTTTTGAGTTTTCTTAAGGGGGCCTAATTTTTTTCAAACCTTCTGTACCTCTCGACAAGCTCTCCTTGTTAGTCGTCCCCGTACCCCAAAACAAATCTTCTGCAATTTTCTAACTTACACTCTTAAAAATAAAGGTGCTTCACGATGCCATAGAAGAACCTTTTTGTCTAAATGGTTCCATAAAGAACCTTTAACATCTGAAGAACCTTTCTGTTTCACAAAAGGTTCTTTGTGGCGAAAGAAGGTTCTTCAGATTACAAAAAGGTAAGAAAGAGATGGTTCTTTAAAGAACCTTTGACTGAATGGTTCTTTGTGGAACCAAAAATGGTTCTTCTATGGCATCGCTTGAAGAACCTTTTGAAGCACCTTTATTTTTAAGAGTGTAATCGTAAAAGACCTGAGAAAGAAGAAGAAGAAAAAAATGAAAAATGATCAAATAACCTCATGTTTGTAAATGAATAATGACCCTGCTGAGTTGGGAGGGTCATAAAACCAGACATCCACACTTACAGAAGCAGAAAAGAGGCATGTTTGTAGAAAATGCATCTGCTGTCTGAGACTTACTCTGTTCTTATCAAATTGAATCATTAAATGATCCCTGAAAAGGATCTAGTTTTTGAAAAATGCTGTTGCGTGATGGCTTCTGAAAGTTCACACTGCCTACCGGCACCTTTGAGCGGCTCAGTGTTCCACTTCCTGGAGATTTCCCATTTGGATTGCTTTAAATGTTGTAGAAATGCCCTTTGGTAGCAGATAAGAAATGACAGTGAGGATCTGCGGGTCAGAGGCACAGACATTCATCGTGGAGTTTGCACATCTAGCCTTAAGAGAGGAGTGTGCTGGGAAATGGCCTCCGGGCAGGGTATCCCCTGACTCCTCTTGAGAAGGGGTGAACGGAGACCTGGGTTTGTGATTGATTGGTGCTGGTTCAGCCACACTGTTTTAAACTTTAACCACAGGTCAAAGCAGAGACGAAGTGAGACCTCTCACAGACAAAAGCCCCTTTTGACTCCCCACCTCCTGATGTCCGGGAAGTGAATGTGTTGTTTGGCTATATGTTATTAGCCCTTTTGATGTGGAATTGACATGTTGCTATGGAGAAGTTTTTGGTACTGTGCAAAATTTGCTGAATGAATAATATAATTTAAAATAGAATTTATGTGGAAAAATATAGTTATTATTCTGAATGTTAGTTGTCCTTGGTAGTATTCATTATATTATATTTATTATGCTTTTGCAGGTTTAGTAAGCCAGCTTCCATGTTTCTGGACCGAAACTTTAAGCGACTTGCAGAAGTTACAAACTATTTTCCTCCATTTGGATTCAAAACACAAGGTATGTATCCATTTTAAAATGAATATATCGCAGACTTTGGGACAGATTTACTAAACAGGGCAAAATGGCGTTAGAGCGCAGTTACATAAACGAGCAGATGGGAGGGGAAAATTCTGCGGGTGATTTACTAACAATGCGCACATTAAAGAACACAGACGCAGCCAGATCATTTCCATAATGCCCAGCGCAATCTACCAAGAGCACCGCAAATTACCACCTGCTTTAAGACATGCTTTTTTTGGGCATTAAATAATGGTGCAAATACCAGTAATCTGACGAGGGCAAATCTTAGTAAACCGCATTGCGTGATTCATTTTAATCCTCTCCTCTCATAAAATTTGCGTCTGAAAGGGAAACTCCTACAAATGCATATTCAATAAGGTCAGGCACAAAAATAACTCCACGCCTTTCAGTGCTAATTCTTCACTGCGTGTTTTTAGTAAATCCTGACAGTAGGATTTTAACACCAAAAGACGGTTTGCACTGGCTCAAGCTGTTAGTAAATCTGGCCCTTTGCCCCTTAACAAGAAAATGTTGTCCAAATGATTTCTTGTTTCCAGAAACGAATGAACCAGTTCTTTTAATGAATACTTAAAAAAAAAAAAAAAAGTTTGAATCAGTCTGTAGCACTTTTGAGGACTATGCAGGATTGATTTTTTTTTTTTTTTTTTTTAGTCCTGCTTTCACAATTTTCTGAAAAAATAAATAAATAAATGAAAATTATATTTTGTCCACAACTTTTACATTTTGTCCTGTTCCCACCCCCAAAAGCATGCAGGTACTACATGGGTTTTTTTCCTCTCTTCTCTTCTTAGTCACGCTTCAGTGTGTCAGAGTATTTCCACACACAGTGGGAATACTAAGAGTTTTTTTTTTTTGTTGCTTAAAAAAGGTGTGGGCAATTTAGTCATGCTGGATGCGTCACATTTGCATAGACTGTGCCATTTTAATTTACCATTGGTTGATTGCCAAATTAAAATGTCAGAGGGGACGATAAAATTATTAAATGTGATTTAGTTTCCATTTTTTATGTTCCTGTTAATTTTGTTTGTTTCTGTTTTATGTTTTTGTTCCTCGAAACAGTTCAGAGCCCTGGTTTGATAGACAATAATGCACTGGTCCCAACAATTATTCTCATGATAAATTCCAATTAATTTAATCTGTTGGCATGCATGTTTCTTTATAGCTTTAGGATGCCAAACTCTCATTATGTTTAAGCATTGCACCACAGGTTCAGGAGTGACTTTGATATTGCAGTAGTGTGAGAGCAAACCTCTGTAGTGCGTACGTGGCCAGATGCATTGCACAGTATGGCAGACATTTATGTACTCCAGTGATGTGGGGGTTTATTCCATTCAACAGAGAACAAGAACTTCATTCTACTGAGCTTTGTGAATGTATCAAAGAGAATGAGACCTCTGGAAAAGACCTGTAGATAAGGCAACGGTTTCTTGAAACCAATTGGTTGTTAATGTAATCCACCGTTGTCTGCTTGAAGCATTTTTTCCCCTCCATCTGAAAAGATGATTACGTCTTAGATTTCAGCACATTGTCAAATGTTCCAGCACTTGAGGGCAACGGGCACATAAGGGTACCTTGAATGTAACCTTTGTGTTCAGTTAAGGCCTGCCGTGTCCACACACATGAAGACTTTCAAAAGAGCAGGTCCCATGTTTACATTACACCTGGTTTTTGTTTGCTGCATGGATCGTGAGCCTAGCGTGACTTCACTTTTAACTTTATTCATTTGGAAAGGTTGATACGTGTGGCTCTTGAATAGAGCTTGACAAAGGTTCTCAAGTTGTGGGCCAGAAAGGCATAAAAATAGATGTCTTATTTCTGCACTACCAATTCCAATATAAGCGATCCCTATGGCCACCTACGACTTTGTGATTTCTGCTCTTGATTACGTCGCCTTCAGTGGAAAACATCCAGTCAAAGCATTGCAGATGGTCTGTAGGGTAATCCCAACATCTTTTACAGACGGGAGAACCAAATACCTCAAAGGAGAATAAACCGTTAGGGCTGTTTTGACTGTAAGTTTGGCCTTTTAAGTGCCTTACAATATTAGATAGCCTCTTAAATGTCTCCTGTGACTCAGGATGAAGGGTCACTCTCTAAGTTCCTCTAATACTCGCGATAAATTATACTGAAATAGTTTGAGCGTGTTTGATCAGTTTTTAAACACACACAAAAAAAAAGCTTTTTGACAAACATTACATGAAAGAAATGTGTCATTATGTGACTCGAACTCTCAGAAGTCACACTCCAGATGGTTTTGTGATATAGCCCCTAAAAGTATTTGCATCGTACCCGACCGTTTCTACTTTATTTCAGAGCATGATTTCCCCTTGCCAAAACAGTGTATGTTAAAGATGATGGGCTTGTTTGTTTAAACTGCCAAGACTGATACTTGGCTGAAATGTTTATGCCGTTTATCTTAAAACAATTCGATCCTATTGCTCTTCCCTTTTCGTTGTGAAACGGTGATATATATATATATATATATATATATATATATATTGTCATGGGTTGAAGAATCACACGACAACGATGGCTCAATAAATGCCACGGAGGGTGGATTTATTTACAAGAGGGTGTGAAAAAGAGAACGGTCCAGGTGGGTGCTCCGGTGCTGTGAGTGCTCTCTTCCTTCTTCCC